TATATATATATATATATATAGGTGGGTAGTTCTTTCTTAAAAGACACAAAAAAATGAAGAAAAAGCGACTCATGTGCCACAGATGAAAAAGTTGACTTTACAGATGCAAACAAGAGTCATGGTCATTCTTTTACATAGTGACATTAGCTTGCCTATTCTTACCTTTCAATTACGTAAGGATTGGTCTCATACGTAAGAAACGCCTCATCCCTAAATGCATAAAAATAACCCTTGGGATATATGAGCAGCTAAAAAATCCATTTCATTTGCACCAAGTTGGAGATGTTCAGAGCAATTTGCATTTTGAAACCTGAAAACCCAGCAGTTTCAAGTAACTCTCCATTATAGGGAACAAGGCCACCGTCCTGGTTAGCAGCTAGAGTTCAGATATGCAAAAGAAAAAAAAACAGTCTGCATGGTCATCAGAACTCAGTTTTAATCAGTGCAGATTGGACACTAGGTGAGAACATGCTGCATACAGGGCAACAGAGAATGGTGCAGAAAAAATTACGTCCACATAAAAAAGGTAACAGAGGTCCCAGCCCTATTTTCTGCTGGGTTACTCCACTCCGTGGAAAATGAGGAAGCAAAGAGGAAATTGGACTTACATTAAGCTGTAGGTCATCTGTCCACTGGCCAACCAGACGATAACCTGGGGCGCTGGTGTTTGTTGTGTGGTACTGAAAGATGTCGTAGCGCCCTGGTGCATCCCCGTTTTTATTAAACATCACTGGAGTGCCAGCACTGCCTGAGGAAGGAAGCGAGACAGACAAACAAACAAACAAAATGCCAAAGCTTTACAATACTCGTTTTATTTGTTTGGTCATGGCTGGAAGCTCTCGGATTGGCATCACAGCTCAGGCAGAGGCCATCCATCATTACAGAAGTGTAAATGGGCACTTTACGACATCATAGGACACCATTTGGGACAGTGTTATAATCCTATCCCTCTTTCTGTGATTAACTATCAAGACCTATAGCCTTTGGCTTAAAAGAAAAAAAAGCCCATAAAATAACATCTGTCTTCACTCTCACCCTGCACATAGCAAGAAAGATGAGAAGAGCTTTGCTCTTCCCCTCTCTTTTTTTCCCTCTCTCTGCGCTAAGGGAGTTGGTTAGTGAAAACTAGGCCTGTGAATGGAACCTCTAAGTGATTCCCCTCCACCCCCTCCAAAAATATTCCATCTGCTTCTGAGAGATACTGCCGTCAGAAGACAGCCCAGGTCTTGTGAGTCTTGACGGGCATCCAGAAATAGCTCCCTCCTCCACAATATGTTCTTATTCCAGTAATCAGCATGCAATTGGGATGGAAAAGAGCAGAGCAAACTATAGGGAAACTGCTCATAATCTCTCCTTGTATTCTCCCTCGTTTAGACTTGAGGACATTGATACTTGCTGTTCTCAGGTAGCCTAGTCATGAACAGCTTTGGGATGGATTCTGGACCCACTCCTGTGACTTATATTAGGTAGAGGAGCTTGGTAGAGAGTCGTAGCACCAGAGCTACAGAGCCCAGAACTCGCTTGATGCATCGGGGGGCCAAAGTGCAACATGCTCAGCTATGTTTACTGCTGTTAAGATCCAGAGTGGTGGCCTGGTACAGCCTGCTTGCTAGTTGCATCATTTATTTCAGATGTCCTACGGTCTGACCATGCACCCCTTAGTCAGCTCTGCGTAAATATTAGATAAGCTTCCCTCTGGACTTCTGAGTTTATAATTTTCTTCTCCTGAATAGGCACTTTGTTGGGCAGTGGGATTGACCACCAGCCCCCTCCTCTTAGCACATCCATTGCCAGTACATAAAAGGGGGAAACTAGACACATTTCATATGATAGGGAGATGACAGGCTGAATTTTGATGCCTTTTTATTACATTAGAAATGATTTATTGGAAAGAAAACTCTAGCCAGGAAATCTGCATTCTAGATAGTAGCACTGTAGCACTGATTCAGATGCAAGGCTCCTTCTTACATGGGTATTCAAAGAGACATATTTTTTTTTATATAGGACTAGGGGAAAAATCTCAAAGACAGCATTTATTTCAAGATGCATAAAAATACGATTCAGTGGGGTACAGCGCTATTGTGTCAAGACTGAAGATCATGACAATGCACTAGTATATCTATATTCAAAACTTCCTCCTACTACAGAACTTTTTTTCCCTTGAAGCAATGAAAAAATCTATCCTGTTGTAGCACTGAGCTTTAGTTACGGCTTTCTTCAGAATTCCCATTCTTCATTGAATCCCAGTATGTGAAAGAAGATTTGAAGGAGTGAATTAGCATAGTTTCCAAATTCTAACCCTGGTAAATTATTTCTCGTCTATTCTACAGTTCCTCTGAGATCAGACATAGATTAAGTTCAAAGGCTGGTACAGAAAATCTTCCACTGAAATCTCTCTTTTCTTGCCCCCTCTGGGTACTACGTAGATATTTAATTGTCATTCCAGATTAATGCAGCCAGAATACATTTACAGTGGGAAAACATTTCTTAGGTGAAGAAGGAGGAGGGGTTACAATTCCTAGGCTCCTTCTGAAAGTCACCACAGGTAGTAAATCACCAGACTAACATGACTATCTCTCTGCAAACAGTAAATGTGATTCATCATGACTTTTAAGAGTGTGTATCATTAGCAAACTATGCTTTGTCACAGCTGACAAAGGATTGGATCTAGGAAGCTGTTTGCCTTGGGTAGTGGCAGCAGCAGTTGGCATGCTTGCACTGACTCTTAGTTGGCACCTGGATCCAGTCCTTTACTTGTGGCCTCCCCCCACCCACCCCCATATACACTATGGTAATTCAGATGGATCTGGACTTCCAGAAGGCATCATCAACCTTTGTAGTTATAGTCATCGGACCCAATCAAAGGAACAACATGTACATGAACAAATGGATGGTTTTTTACACACTAAGGGGAAGGTTCATAGCCGATGCAAATTATCCTGACTCCAATGAAGTCAATTAAACCATGACATCTTGTATCACCTGAGGTTACACCCTGGAAATCGGAGAGTAATGCAGACAGCTATCTGACTGCATACAGACATCTACATGCAGGCATCTATATGCTCATTTTTTGCTTAAGTAGATGAGGGGTGAACTTGGTAAGTGGAACATTAGTGGTAAGATTAAAAGTTGCCTTAAAAAAAGGAAAGGATTTTTAAATGTCATATACCCAGATGAGCAGGATACCTGTTTTTTAAATGGAATCTAGAAATCAAATGATGGCAGCCCTGGTGAGAATGCATTGGGGAGGAAGGGAGGTGGGAACCCTCACTATGTGCAGTAAGTAGCAAAGAAGTGGCAAATTTGAGTGCCTGCAGATGATAATGGTGATAGTGAGCCATTAACTCTACTGAAAGTATTCAACGCCTTCCGGACTATAGCCCTGTACAACAAACACAGCTTGCTGAGCTTGCTATGGAGAATGCTTATTGTTATGGGAGTACGTATAAAAGAGGGACGTTGGTAGATGTGGAAATAGTCAATGTGCTAGCGGATGGTGCTCAGGAGTCTGCAGTTTCTGGGTTTTGCAAGAATAATAAAACCTTTTGTTGTGCCCTTCAAATGGCTTCCTTTATGTAGCTCTTTAATATCTCTCCTGCTCAACAGGAGTAGTAACTGCTGTTGGTGCTTACTCCCTGGGTCTCTGATTCAGGAAGGCACTTGAGACTGTGCTTCTAATTAAGCAGACACTAGAGTGCTTTTTCTGAATCTGGGGCTGGATGCATCATGCCTGCTCATGATTTCTATATGCATAATTCCTGCAGACATCATATCTGCCACTTCCCTACCTACACAGTGTTGTTTTAATCTCCCGAAGTGTCATGCACTATACTTCATGTCATAACTAATAACATCACTTAAATGTGATTACCTATTAATATGTGTTTACCTTTAAGTTACACTTTTCTTAAAATGTATTTGAACAGCATAAATATATATCTGGGTTGTTTGTTGTTGGGTTTTTTTTTGTTTGTTTTGTTTTTTTTTATTTTTTACCAGGCATATCCTCATTTCTACTTTTAAATTTATTTGAAAATCTATACCCCACCACACACAAAATTGTGAGTGACTTTCTTGGGGGGAGTGAGAGTAAGCTACTCAATGTCTGCCGAACGGCAGACAGTTATGATCATGTTGGATCCCACATAAAAAACTCTCTGGCCATGTCCAAACAAGTAGTGCTTGGAGTGGGGGGGTTGACCCCTGGATATCCAGGGCTCAAAAAACCTGCAGGGAAAAAGAAAGTGGAGCAGTGCACGCTCAGAACTGGACCCTGGCTGCCCAGATCCACACTCCGGCGGCCAGCCAGGCTTCTAGAGGCAGAATTGCCATTGCTGCAGTCCTGGGAAGCCCCCAGGACTCCAGGTAAGGCTGCTGAGGCCAGCCCAGTGCTCGCCCCAGCCTCCCCTCCTCCACCCAGGGTAATTTGCCATGTGCCACAAGGTGTGCCACCGCCAGTTGTCCTTGGGGAACCAAATGTCCATGCTCACATGGATGCAGCCCCTGAGTTGACTGGCTTTTTGAAAGTGGAGTAACTGGTTTGGCATAATAAATACAAACCCTCTGGTTTTTAGTCAGTTTTCAATCCTGATGGGTTTTGTGACTGCATGTTTTGGCGCACAGTGTTCATCATGTGACTTCTGGGGTGTGTTTTTAAACTGCTACAGCATTTTATTCTGTGTTCTCTATCTGATTTCCTAATGCAAACTATGAAAATATCTAACAGGGGCACTTGCAAAACCTGCAGGCTGAAACATATTATTAATATTTGCCTAGCCAATGTGATGTATTATTTTTATTCTTCTAATTATGATAACAGGTTAGCAGGATCTTTCTGGGTATTTAAAGCTGACATAAATTTAATTTTGTCCTCTTTCAGTAAACATAGTAAGAGTTAGTTTCTCCACATTTCTAAAAAGCAACTTAGAAACCTAGCAACATTCTCCTTCCTGTAGCTGCCTGAACATTCAGTAATGTTATGAAATATTAATTCATCTTCAGTTCCCAACGAATAAGTTATACTCTCACTAGACATGCTGTACATGATGCCTCTTCACATGAAGAACTCATTTGAAAAAAGACACGATTTATTTGATTTTGTAGGATTCTGTCTCTTAATCACCACAAGAAACTCATCAAGAAGGGAACTGAATTAATAAGAGAAGGGTAGGGTGCTTGATAAATGTGACTATCTAAGGTGTTTCTTTATGACTCAGTTCAGAGTCACTGCAGTTCTGACAAGGACCTGCAGAGTTCATGGAAAAAGCATCCCTCATTTTTTCAGGTCATCAGGAAAGAATACCATCACTGCACTGTGAGATTAATATTCAGAATCTCACTGCATCGGGTTTTTTCTGCTCTCAAGATTGTAAGACAATATTGGAATTCATACTGAGCTCCTACTACAAATTCACAGTCTCTACTCATTAAAAGATTGCTTGAGCTCTTGCTTCATGAACGTCATGATCTTTGTAGGGGAGGAAAGAAAAAAAATGAAGCAAGGAAAGGGAAGATGATTTTGTCTGCATGGTTAAAAGTACATCTATTTGCACCCCTGCTATACAAATCAGGATCAGAAGATCATAGATGTAAGGTGCATGAGAAGGCATTTCCTACATTTATAATATAGAAACAGGAATCATGTTACACTATTCTCTGTTTTCATTATGAACCTCATTACAGAAATGAGAATGTGAGACCTTAATGCGATATAAGCCAAATGGTAGCATTTAGCTATTGACCCTCACAGGAGCAGTATAGAACTAAACTTCTCTAGGAAGAAGCCCCAGGACACACTAAACAACCTAGGCTGTATCTGTCTTTGGATAGGGTCGCCCAACTGCTTCTTTCCTACCATCTTTGGGATGTCAAACCACTAGAGGCATGCCTGGGGATCACTCCCCAAGCACAGGAAAACACCGTGCCACCTGTGAATGGGTTCCACATGCCTTCTCTTTGATTTCCTCATTCCTGTGCACTTGTCATAATCTTGCTTCAACATACCTATTTGGTGAACTGCAATAATGTGTGTGACATTCCCCACTCCTAAATCACAGGATGGACTGAACGTGGTGACAGCAATTCTGACTACTCACCCTACCACTCGTGGCTCCTTGAGGCTGAGCAACTGAGGTTGGGTCACACGAATGACAAAACAAATGTACAGCTCAAGCCATCCATCGTTTTTGCAGCTCAGACCCTTATGGTCTCAAAGGGGTATGTTTTACAAGGAATGGGACATTACTTATAGGAAGACAGGGTTCCCAAAATCCCTTCTACAAAACCTGGGCCCACCCTGTTACTACTATGGACGTGCCTGTGATTGCTTTCGACTCTGGTGAAAGAATGTTTTAGATTACTGCGCTTTTAACACACCTGCAATATTGTATATGAGGCAGAGGCTCAATGTGGAAAGGGAACAGAGCCCCCAGAATCTCACCAGAGCCATGGCACAGTGACAATAACAGGAAACTTTGCAGCTCTGTGTGAAAACACATATAAATAGTTCTTTGCGAATACAACAAGGGAAAAGTAAACTCTCATAAGGATAATACATCTTAAAGGAAACTTATTTGTGCTCTCTCTGTGCCCGTCCCTCCTCAGCAATATTGTCTAGGACTAAGCATAAGTAGCTAAGCAATAACTGATGCAAATTTGTCTAAAAATTCCAAAATGCACTTTATCTTCTACATCTCTCTGTCAAATGCAAAGCAACGGCAGTTTCTTTGGGCCCCACGCTGCTTATGAGCTGACCGTTACAAAGGAAGAAAACAACACCATGTGGTTTATGTGACCAATTGTAATACGAGGGAAAAATAATCTTGCAAAATATCAGTCCAGTAAATTCTGGACAGGAAATTGAGGGCACTGTAATCTAGTTGTGAGCGGGCTATGAGCAGGAAATGAGGCAAAATTCACTAAATAGTTTAGTTCCTGCTAGTTATTAAAATGATTGAATGGGCATTCAACCTCTCTACTTTCCAAGAACCTCCCTATCACCTTTGGAGATGAACATGAATCATCTGCTAAATGCCAGATTAGTAAATGCACATAAATATTGTGTTTCTTTTATTATTATAGTGTTTTATCTTAGTAAGTTTCTATTCTCTTTCCAAAATCAGTAAGATAAGATTTTATTCCTGAGGTTACTAGTTCAGCAATATTTTGCCTCTAACAATAGCCAGCAAAGGAGGTGGGGCCAGGAGGGGGAGGAGTTGGGGTATCTCCTATAATATACTTTACTAGTTGTGCAATGCTTTACTTGAGAGAGAAAAAAAATCCCTTTCTGTTACCTAAGGTGTCCAAGTCAGATCATGAGGTCTAGGATTTTTTTCCTCATCTGAATGTTACAGCCCATTTGTGTCTCCTCTGCATGTATCTATTAGTCTGCAAACTGCTATAGAGAGGGAAGGCGATTAGCATTTTCAAATACTTAGGGGTGCCTGTACACGTTTGGGAAGGCTGCTCTGACATGCTGTAATTATGGTGCGTTGGAGCAGACTCAGCGAATCAAGTCTGCTGGATTGTGCTAATTAGCACACACCAGCCAGCCTCCGCGCCTTGTGTATCAGCATCCTGGCACTTCAAAACAGTGGCAGGGGCACTTCAACTAAAACTCTTTCAACAAGCTTTAGTTAAAGCACCCCCGCCACCATTTTGCATCATGGGGACGCTAATACACAAGACACTGTGGGCGCTTTAATTAGAGGGGCTCTCGGACCCACTCTAATTAAAGCTTCCCCTCCACCCCCATGACCCCTGGAGCACATGTAAAAATGCCTAATGTTAATCACCTCCATCCATATTTAGACAACTAAACCAGATCCCAACCCAGCAAAGGTTAACACCAGAGTTAATATGCATTACAAATGCCCTCTGTGCATAGAGCTATTATAGCCCTCAATTATGTGGGTTTTGCTCTTTTCTCAAGTTCTCACAGCTTGTGCATTTATATATGAGGGCCCTGGGTTCAATATCCCATGTGTTGTCCAATAAAAGACTGTCACAAAAACACTCAGGCGCATGCAAAATATAAAGAATCTGTGTAATGTCACTGGAGTTAATAAAGTCTGATTTTCAAAGATGCAGAAACTCTGCATTTATGTAACAATGAGAGTGGTGCCTCCTGTTTGACTCTTCCAGACATCACTGCCTAGTGAGACCTATGTGTGTATTTAGATGTGTGACTTTGGATTCCCAGATTTGACAATGTGAGCCTGGGTCTCAGGCTTGCAGAGTGCTGAGACAGAGCATTTAAAAAGCTCCTGTTACAGATATTAACAAAGTTTATGAGGAGGAAATAATGGCAGATTGCTTGTAAGGCTAACTTCTGTGAGTGTTTAGCTGTTATGGCTCTGGGGCTGGTCCCACATGAATCTCCCCCATGTATGTTAATGAAGCAAATAAACTTTCAATAAAATTCACAGGGATGAGGAAATCCTGCTATAGCATCTCAGCCAAATTCACACAATCTTGAAGGGGGAAGCATAAATGAAAGCCCTTTGCCATACACTATCAGCAAGAGGCAATATTAAAGCTGTCACACCCAGACTTAGGACTAATGAAGATCACTTTTATTTGGTGGCTGAAGCCCAAATGGCTGTGGAGATGTAAACTAACATCATCTCATCTTCAGATATAGCTGTCAACTGTTTGTGCTTATGCGCTATGGACCTTCTGGAGGACTGGAGCAATTTTTACCCTAGGACATTCTGCTTAGTGAGCCCAAGTCACTAGCTTTGAAACCTGCAAATAAGCCTGACCCTTTGACTGGCTGTCTCATCCTTGTGCATGTGACAAGCAGGCTAGATCCCGTATACGGAGTCTCGCTTTGTTTTTTTTCCAACTAGGGGAAATGAAATAGATATATATATAAAATGGGTGATGGGCTGAAAAATTACTTGATAAATGCCAAATTCAAACTGAATTATATATAGATCTATTTATCTATCTAATTAAGTTTGAATTTGGCATTTGTCAAGTAATTTTTCAGCCCATCACCCATTTTTGCCAATAAGAGCAAATCTTGGGCTTATGAAAACAATTTAGTGGCTTCATATTAATTCCCACATGTGCCCACCTGAAAATGGTTACACCACATCAATCCCAATAAAAAAACCCAGGCTTAGTCAGACAGAATGCTGTAAGTCTGAAATTATATCATTTTTCTCTTCTTCAAGCAAAGCAACACAAAATCTTCAAGCAGATGTTAAACAGGAACTACATAAAAATGGCAACTCCGCTCATTCAGGAATCTAGGGAAACCACATCCATAGTCTAGACACAAAATAAATTCCCAACTTTTATGTGGCCCGGGAGTTCTGGGACAGTGTCTCTCTTTGCACTCACCGTTGAAGTTAACGCTGCGTATGTACTTCAGCAGCTTCTTGCCTCCTGCTTGCTCCATCTCCGGACAAACTCCTGGGTAATCAGGACAAAGATCCTTGTTCATATGATGGAGGGCATGAGCCATGGCATACACAGCATCAATCACAAACTGAACTTTCCCCTCTTGCTCATAATGGGAGTCCTTTCCAATTCTCTCCTGCCCTGCACAGGAAAACAAACAGACACACATGCACAAACACACACACACAAAGAGAAGGATGGTGAGGTACAGAATTCTCCTGGTGCCAAATACAAGCCTATCCACTTTGAGCAGTCTTAAAGAAATGAAGGTATTCAGTCAGTATGGTGCAGTTTGGGGCGGTTTTTTGTTCTGTTTTCTTCTCTTTTGTTAAGATCATGGCTGCGGTATTCTTTCTTTTAATTATTTTATAATCAAATGGAAAAAAAAATATATATATTCTCAGTTCTTGAAACTGTAACCTTAAACTTTAAACCTTTCATATTTTTGACACAAAAACCACAGAGGCAAACCTTATTCATAAGCACATAAACTATAACCACTGGGAACCATCTCCAAAGAGACAAACAGTATCGTCTGCACCACAAATAAGTCTCTGACTGAAGAAAGGTTTTTTTTTTTCAACAAAGCACAGCTGGTATTATAAAGTTGGATGTGACATACTGCCTTTCAAATCTCAGCCTCTAATTGAAAGGCACAGGCAGACTGAAGAAGAATCATTGCTGATACAACCTAAAGGATGCTCAGGAGAATTCACTTATATGCCGACTGTTAATGTCATCTGAGGCAGCAAAGTATGCTTACATTAATGATGAACCCCTCTTTTCCTCCTCTTGTAGGGAGTAAAGGGTCCTTCATATGCCATCAAAATATTTTTGCAAAATAAGGGCTTAGCATAAGGATTCCAAAACACTGCAGTCTATTGCTCTCACTAAAATACCACCAAGGCGGGGGGGAGGGGGAGACGGATGGGGGACCAGTAATGTTAAAAAAATTATTACTTCTAATGTTTAATTATTTATTATATGTATTATACTAGCATTAAAACAGAGACCTCCTTTAGCATGTTAGGTGCTGCATACATTCTGCCTCAGACAACTTGCACTTCAAATGGGCAAGGCAGAAATAAGCCAAGGGAGGTACAGGGAACTGAGGCAGAGATAGATTTTAAGGTCTATTTATACTGCATCTGTGACACCCAAAACTCACCTCCCAGAGTAGATGTGTACCCACTTGTTCCCACTCTACAAATAACAGAAATGAGACAGTGAAGCTGCCCTGAGGATACTTTCAACTGGCACTCTCAAGAACACTGTTTCCAAGTGAGATTGAGCATGATGGTAGAAGATACCCTCAGGGGGCATGTCCCCATATGCAGGGGTATGCATTTTCCGTAGCACAAATAGCAGCAGTACATATTTGTGTTGCTCCTTTGTGCCCTAGGGCACACGCTTCCATGCACACTCTGGCACATACCTAATTGTCCTGGGTGGGGTAGGGGAGGCTGGGACCAACAACTGTGCTGGACCCAGCAGCCTTAACTGGGAGCCTCCTGGGGCAGCAGAGGCACCAATCTGACTGCACGGAGCCTGGCTGGCAGCCAGAATATGGTTCTGGACGGCCAGGCTCTGTTTCCGGTGGCGCGTGCTGCTGCCGCATGCACCACACCTTTTTTTTGACACTGGGTTCTCCCAGTGTCAAATTTTGGCACTGCACTGCAGATTAGCAGCATGGGAAATGGTTACACATGCACCACGTGTGGTTTGCAGCATTTCAAACAGGTTTGAGGCACCACCGACTGCATGTGTGCACTCCTCTGGACATACCCAGGTTGTCTTTCCTACCTTATATCTAGTGTGGTATACAGGGAGTGGGAGGAGGTAGGTGGGCGTATTTTTTGGCACTGCTCTTCAGAGCACTGGGGTAGTACTAGAGAAATGCCCAAAAGAAATCTGAAGGAGAGACAAAATCAAACTAAAAAATTCTGAGTACTAGTCCAATGCCTTAACCTTTCCTCTTCTTTAACAGTAGCAAACTGTAATGAGTAAATAGTATGCAGTTATGAAACAAAAAACAGTGCTTTTTAATCCAAAATACATAAGATCAAAACTAAGATGAGTAAAAAAACAGAAATATATTCACCCAACATATTATATGATTAATACAGATCACATTTATTACAAGATTAAGTCAATGAATACTATCTGACTGTCACTAAACAAAAACAGTAGGTATATGTACACACACACATATATACATACATACACCCCCAACACACACACACACACACACACACACACAAATATGATATATAAGGGAGAGTGTTGTCTGTGGGGGAAGCAAAACAGTATTATGTTCCAAGTCTCTTGGGTTTTATTTCCAGATCTTTCAAGTCTAACTTTTTGTTTAATATTGGGCAAGCAACACCTGCAGCATTCAATGTGTCCAGCTGCAAAATGTGTGATTATACTCACCTATCTCACCAGGGCTTTGTGAAACATAATTACTGGTTGTTAAGTGTTCCAGGATGCTTTGTAGGAAGCTATAGAAGTCCAGTATATTTTTAACAGCTGGAACTTCGCAAGCCACTTATTCAGTTATCTACTAGACAAAACCTTTTTTCAACCTTAGGTCAGCAACACACAAGTCCTTGACTTCAGGAAAGCCGACTTTGACAAGCTCAGGAGGCTTGTCAGTGAGGCCCTAAGGGACCGTGACCACAGGGAGAGGGGAGTTCAAGAGGAGTGGTTGCTCCTCAAGGGAGCGATCCTCAATGCACAAACTAAGTCTATTCCATCTCGGAGGAAAGGCAGCAAGAGGGCACAGCAGCCCCCCTGGCTCTCCAGGGACCTAGCAGATCTCCTGAGGCTAAAAAGAAAGGCCTACAAAGGATGGAGGATGGGAGTCACCTCCAAGGAGGATCATTCTGCACTGGTCCGGTCCTGTAGGGAGCAGACCAGGAAAGCCAAGGCTGCAACTGAACTCCAGCTAGCTTTGAGCATCAAGGACAATAAGAAGTCCTTTTTCAGATATGTGGGGAGCCGGAGGAAAAGCAGAGGCAACATTGGACCCCTGCTGAGCCAGATGGGGCAACTGACAACTGACGCCCAGGAAAAAGCCAACCTATTAAATAGGTACTTTGCGTCAGTCTTTCATCAGTCCCATGGGACGCCCATGCCCGCTACAGGGCCGGGAAGTCCGGGTGAGGGTGATCCCCTGCCCTCCCTTAATGCTGACTTTCTGAAGGAACATCTTGAGAAGCTGGATACCTTCAAGTCAGCCAGCCCTGACAATCTTCCCCCCAGGGTACTCAAGGAGCTGGCAAGGATCATAGCCCAGCCTCTAGCACGGATCTTTGAAAACTCTTGGCGCTCTGGTGTAGTGCCCGAAGACTGGAAGAAGGCCAATGTGGTGCCTATCTTCAAGAAAGGGAGGAAAGTGGATCCGGCTAACTATAGGCCCATCAGCCTGACTTCTATCCCGGGGAAGATCTTAGAAAAGTTTATTAAAGAGGCCATCCTTAATGGACTGGCCGACGCCAACATCTTAAGGGATAGCCAGCACGGGTTTGTTGCGGGTAGGTCTTGCTTGACCAATCTCATTTCCTTCTACGACCAGGTGACCTATCACCTGGACAAGGGAGAAGAGATTGATGTCATATATCTTGACTTCAAAAAAGCCTTCGATCTGGTGTCCCATGATCGCCTCTTGGAGAAACTGGCCAATTGTCGCCTTGGGTCCTCCACGATCCACTGGCTGGAAAATTGGCTCCGGGGTCGGACCCAGAGGGTAGTAATCGATGGAAGTCACTCATCGTGGTGTCCTGTGACCAGTGGGGTCCCCCAAGGCTCTGTCCTTGGACCCATACTGTTCAACATCTTCATTAATGATGTGGACACTGGAGTCAGAAGCGATCGCTATGTTGGCTAGCACTATGGAAGAAAGAGACTTGGGGGTCGTCATTGACCACAAGATGAACATGAGCCTGCAGTGCGATGCGGCGGCTAGTAAAGCGACCAAAACACTGGCTTGCATCCATAGATGCTTCTCAAGCAAATCCCGGGACGTCATTCTCCCCCTGTACTCGGCCTTAGTGAGGCCGCAGCTGGAGTACTGTGTCCAGTTTTGGGCTCCACAATTCAAAAAGGATGTGGAGAAGCTTGAGAGAGTCCAGAAAAGAGCCACACGCATGATCAGAGGTCAGGGAAGCAGACCCTACGATGACAGGCTGAGAGCCCTGGGGCTCTTTAGCCTGAAAAAGCGCAGGCTCAGGGGTGATCTGATGGCCACCTACAAGTTTATCAGGGGTGACCACCAGTATCTGGGGGAACGTTTGTTCACCAGAGCGCCCCAAGGGATGACGAGGTTGAATGGTCACAAACTACTTCAAGATGGTTTCAGGCTGGACATAAGGAAGAACTTCTTTACTGTCCGAGCCCCCAAGGTCTGGAACAGCCTGCCACCGGAGGTGGTTCAAGCGCCTTCATTGAACACCTTCAAGATGAAACTGGATGCTTATCTTGCTGGGATCCTGTGACCCCAGCTGACTTCCTGCCCTTTGGGCTGGGGGCTGGACTCAATGATCTTCCGAGGTCCCTTCCAGCCCTGATGTCTATGAAATCCATGAATTCAGCAGCCATAAATGGTCCTGATCATGAAAAGAGCTCAGTGAAACCAGATCCCAGCAACAATTCTCAAAATAACCTGAAAACTAATAATTTAGGATTGGGGCTTAAGAGAAGAAAATACTAATTCTATCATCTTCAATTTGAAAGAGGCACTAATGGTGAAGCCATTCAGCAATTGTGCTTAAATCCACTGATACCAGGAGGAAAAAAAATCACCCTGGTAATAAGTTTTGGTGAGAAGAATGAGTTCCCCATTTGTACGTTTCTGCTCAAATCACATTCTTACATATTCACTTGTTACATTAACTATATACTGGAACCATACAGGGTTAGTGAAGCAGTTTTTACCACAATAGAGCCATTTTCTTGGCTTTGGACTCCAGATAATTCGAGCTACTGAGGCAGCTCTAATCAAGCAGGAACGATATGTTCTTGTCATTCTCCTATTCAGTGCTCATCTTTTCTATTAAGTCTGTAAGTTCTTGGGACAGGAACTCTCGAACATTGTATTTGCCCAGCATCTGATACACCTGGGACCCCTTTTTTGATTGGCTGACAAGTACCACAACAATACTAGTAACCTATCATTAATTTCAGATTCACGGGTTTGTAGAAATCAATATATCCAGGCAAAATCCTTTTGTTTTCCTCACTTCTGTACAGGCAGCAGGGGGTGAGGGAAACACTGAAAGGCTGACATGTGACATTACTTAAACATCAATTATGTTCACAGCCAATCCATAGTTTAAAGACAAGAACAATGAATAAATAAAAAGGTAGAGGACTGCAAATGAAAAAATCATGAATAAACACAATGAAGAAGATCACAAAGGGAGCCCTTGTATATCTAGCAAATTATTTGTAGTGACCTATTCACTCAGCTTTTTCTCTGGCCAACAAATATGCATTTCCTCCACATACACTTTCAGTTATGTGGAATTTGTTTTACTTGTTGCTTCACTAAGTGCTAAACAGCAAAGCTCCAATCCATCCAATCTGGATAACACAATTTAAGAAATTCTCTGGCACAGTTACAATTCAGAACTAAACTAGCAACACCAAATTCCTTGCAAATAATTCAGCAGGGTAAAATGGGTTCCAGGTTTTGAAGATTTACCTACTGTCCTTTTTTATCACTCCACTCTCCTTTCATTGATTACAGACCATATTACATTTTCAGACACCAAGGAGGAAAATGCTTTTAAGTGCCCTTAGCTGAGCTACATAACCAAATAAGTAATGCAATGGAAAGGGATGCCAAGGGAAGCAATCTTAAAATTGAAACTCTGAACACAAACAATACTGATTAAGCATATTGAGTGCTAGAAGCATATGTGACCAATACAGAGGAGGGGGGGAGGGAAATCTTTAGCAGCTAAGATATTAGTGGAAGAAGACAGAGCAAAAATCCATGAAACAAAGCTGCACTAACAATGTGAAGATCTGAAAATAATAAAATACAATCAATAATAAAATATGTTTCAGAAAACCTGGTGGAACTTTTTGAATACCTATGTATCCCATATGGTCCAAACTTATAGAGCTACTCATACATAACAGCATGTGCATCACTGCGTGTGCAGCTTTTGCATACAAGTTCATCTGTTGATGGAAGGTTGAGTGGCATTTTAACAGGAAATAGGCACATCTTTGGGATACATTTTCAAATCTAAGGTCTATTCTGAAATGCCCACCGCATCAGCAGAACAATAATTTATACTTATGTAGACCTGCTTCCATTCATTTTATAGTAAATGACC